TCTCCCTTCACCCACTTTTCGGTAGTCCTAATATATGTTGAGTGAATGAACAGAAATCAAGCTTGGTAGCCCAACTGGAACTAAAACCCAAACTACCTGTCAGGGTGAAAGGTTGATAATGACCTAATTGCAATGTTATTGTATTTTATACTTGAATTAACACCTCTGGAAAAAGATGAATCTTTCCTGAGTTAAGAATTTTATACTGCTTGATGGGATTGAACTATGGAATGCTATGATATCTGTAAGAGCTCCCAATAAAATAATTTTTAAAAGAGTTTTTTTTTTTATATACATGGGAGAGTGCGAACGCAGTCCCCCAACTAACACAAATTATGCAGTCGAGTTTCCCACATTTGGGGAAATCGCAGGGGTCAGCACTTCTGGAGTGCAATGGATAAGCCTCGCCCTGGGAAAACCACCTTCGTGATCATGGTATCTCCCCGGCCAGGTAAGTTATTAAAAAGAGTTTCAAAAGACTGTTACCCTCTGTCCCAAGGTACCTACTCAAATATGTCATCACCTGTATCCCTCCTTCGTCTCAACTAAATTCAGTAAATTCATGATTCATCTACCAATGATCTGGATTATACTATCATTGAAAGACCTTGTTTTTTGTTGTTGTTGTTCACACAAGTTATTACTTAATCCTTAGATCATTCCAATAAGTAGGAATAGATGCTATCTTCATTTTAAAGCTAAATAGGGATAGCAAATAGTGTAGTCTGAGTCATGCAAGAAATCATTAGTGTTAGTTGCTGTTGAGTTCAGGCCAACTCATGGCAACCTTATGTATAACAGAAGTAATGGTTGCTTGATTCTGCTTCATCTTCGTGATTATTGATATGTTTTAATCCATTGTTGTGGTTATTGTGCCAACTTTTCATTAAGAGTGTTCCTCATTTTCACTGACCGTGAACGTCACCAAACACAGTTTAGCCCAAAGTAAGAAAGTGGAAGCCCCTCCATCCTGACTTCTAAGGAACAGTCTTGTGCAGCTTTTGCATAAACATGCAGTGACTGAAACAACCATGACTTAGTCAGCCACAAGTTAGTTACCCAAGTGACAAGTTCGCTTTGTTGTGATTTGAACAGTTGTTGCGTAGCAGATTTGTTCTCTGTGGTGTGGTGTGTCGCTTGATTTCTAGACTGTTGCTCCAAGGGTGTTGATTGTTGAGACAAGTTGTAATAATTGTTGTTTTTATATTCAGATGTAATTCACAACACGGGCTTTCAATGATGGAAAGAACTTATCGACAGAAGATAAGAAAGAAATACAAGATTTGAACAATACCATTGTTGGATAGAGGAGACCTAGTGCATGGTGGTCAGCAGTTTGAACCTACCAGTCGCTCTGTGGGAGAAAGATGAGGCTTTCTACTTCCATAAAGATTTACAGCTTGGAAACCCACAGGAGCATTTCTACTCTGCCCTACACTGTCACAGTGTGAATTGGAATCAAATTGGTGACAGTGAGTTTGGTTTGGTTTTTGGAAATTTGAAATCAAAGGCTGCCATTCTGAAGACCTTAACAAAGGCAACACTTTCCTCTTTAGAGCCTGTTCATGCATTGTCCAGAATTATTTTAGAAGAGAAACAAAATCGCTCTCTTTAAGGAGCCTTTCAGGAGAGCCACTGCTTATCTACAGCCCAGTCTAACTCAAGTCC